GTTCACTTATGTGTTGTTATGATTCGGACATGTATCTACTCTATTTCAATTAACACATAATAGATCAAACATTATACAAATATTATAAAAAGGAAACCCTAATACTCTGGTGTTGTTTTCTAACATCAGTACTAATCTATAATAACTATAAATTTCTTCAACTCAATGCATAGCAATGGCTCCTATGACGGCTTGTCGCTAGCTATAGCGGCTATAGGCCATGTCCAATCCAGTAATATAGATCAATKGTAAGACCTCAGGTCTGAACTGGGGATGGAACCCAGGATCTTCTTGCTGTGAGGCGTCGGTGCTAACCACTGAGCCATCGTGCTGCCAGCATGTAAGAGGGGAATTCCCCCCAATTTCAAAAGTGAATTTCAGGCACTGGTTTCATTACAACTGAATGCATCTTAATAACATTGCAACAGTAGTGTTCTTCTCTGCCCCGTGTATGTGTGTGTGCAGACTGCTACAGGAGCAGATGGAGCAGTCTCTGTGTGACACCCAGCACACACTCTCTGTGAAGATGAATGAGCTGCAGGCAGCACACCTACAGATTRAATCGCTCCAGGAGAGATTAGGTGAATGTGGTTCTGCTGCTGCTCTCCTCCTGTCTGCTGGACACTTTGTTCACTTTATTTATTTTTAATCCTGTCAGGGGAGCTGAGTCAGCACAGCTCCAAACACAAGGAGGAACTAGTTGCTCTTCAGAAGTCCATCTCTGCCTTGGACAGAGAGAAGGATGCTCTGCAGGACGAGGTGGACCAGAAGACTGAAAAACTGCTTGTTCTGCAGGAGGAGCTGTTACAGAAGGTAACCAACAGCTTCATGCTTGGAATACAGTTTTTAAATACAACAAATTAGAACTTTCTGCAAACTCTCAAAAATAAAGAATCTCCAAATACTTAGTATAACATACGTACTGGAGGAGTCAGTGCTGACTGTTTATGCTCGTCACTGGCTTTAGTCTACGCTGAAATATACACTCTAACAAGGTTTTACTTTTGTATAAAACTCATGACAAAGTTGCATAAAACATTTCATATAACACAAACGTGCGCGCGCACATCTACCTTTACCGGCTGCTGTGTTAGCTTCCTGCTAGCTGTCCTGTGGAGGAGGTCTTTCCTCTCTCGTCTTGGCAGTAAAA